TTGTCTTTTCGAGACAGGGTCTTGCTCTGTTGCCTCGGCTGCAGTTTTTGACTTTGATATGAAGGAATTATTTTGTGTGAATGCACTGGGTCTGAGCATTTGCTCGATGTCTACTTTTGTCCTCCATTCTCTTCCTGAGACCCATCCACATTGACGTGATTCATTTTCATTACTGTGTGATCTCCCGTGCTATGAGGGGAACACGGGAAATGTCTCTGTTTTCCTGTTGATGAGTGTTTGACCAGGTTGGGGCCCTTAGGACTGTGTTGCTAGAACGTTCTTGGGCATTTCTTTTGTACACAAGTGCAAGTCTGTTCCGGTCAGTAGCTTTCAATTATTAAAATTTCATCCCTGGTAAGAAATGTAATTTTCCTCATAATCTAAAACACACATCCTTTCATATACAAGTATACTTAAAAAAATTCACAACCATTCTTAGCAGTGGCTGAATGTTCTTGTTGCTCTCCATTCTCCCCAACCCTTGCATTTACTGGATTGTGGGATTTTTGCCAGTCTGGTGGGTGTCATGTGATACCTCATCCTGTTAGGCTGAGACCCTCTTCATGTTTTTATTGGCCATTCTTTCATATTTCCTCTCCTGTGAAGGGCTGGTTCAACTCTTTTGCCCATTTTCTCTTTAGTTGTCTGAATTTTTGCCTTTTTCTTTTATTATTATTATTTGAGATGGAGTCTCACTCTGCTGCCCAGGCTGGAATGCAATGGCATGATCTTGGCTCACTGCCACCTTTGCCTTCCAGGTTCAAGTGATTCTCCTGCGTCAGCCTCCAGAGTAGCTGGGATTACGGGTGCATGTCAAACTCTCCCTTCTGGCTGGCAGCCTGTCCATCATGCACTCTTCATTTCTGGGCCACCAGGAATTCAAGCCTTAGCAAATCCAGAGGCCTCCAGTAGATCAGGATGACCCCATAAGACTCATGAGCCTTAATTCCTTTGGTAATAATCCTATCACTGAAATTTCTTAAAATACTTTCCCATTTTCTCTCATGCTACCTGATGGAAGAATTCCTGCATTTAATGTTTTAACTTACTGAAGAAGAAATCTCCACAAAAAGAGCATTTTCTGTTTTCTGCTTTGGTTGTGGAAAAAAAGATGCTTCTCTAAACCATGATTTTGTTCTTCTAAAGCATTGCCACTGAAATATCATGGCTGACTTCAGAACACCAGGAATTCTTTTCATGTCCTGAATCAGAATTTTCTAATTTTTCATAAGAAAATATATATAGGCATGATTCTTTCCTTTAGTAATTTATCTCTTACTGATATTTAAATAAAAATATTTATTTTCTAAAAGGCTTATTGACCTTCAAATTTGCGTTATAATCCAGTAGAGAATTAATGGGATTTTATTCTTCCTTCATGTTATGGGTTAATAAACTAGGGATTCCGCTAGACTATTTGGGAAGCAGAGAACTTAATGATACTTCTAAATTACAGGTTCTCTGTCAGCCTTGAACATTGTCCTGATACCCTGGACAGACACCAATGTTCCTGTTCTTAAAAAACATAACTTTTCTGGTTTGGCCCCAGCACACTACACCCTGGGCAGTGACGTTCCTTGTCATTCCTCAGCCCTGAACACACCTACTTCTTTAGAAGTAATCCCCACATCAGATTAATCTCTATTTTTAAAAGTTATTTTATTCCCCTATGGAGAAAAGATCAGATTTGTAATGTATAAAGAACTACAAATAAATAAAAATACACATAATTGTCCTAAGATTGGGCAAATGCTATGAGCAGTTCAGAGATTCTGAGGAAACCCGTGAAAGAGTTGACATGTCCTACATAATCAAGATAATACACATAAAGAACAATGGAATGCCCTCACACACCCATTCTACTGACAAATGTTTAAATCTGTCTACACCAGGTGGTGGGCAGGAAGTGGAGCATCAGAGACCTCCCCCATTGTGGGTAGGAGTCTATATTGAATTGTTCCTTTGACATCAATTCAGGTGATATTCATGACAGTGGATGCTGTGCTCATCCCACTAACCAGCAATCCCAGTCAGTTCCAGGCTCCAAGCACGTTCTAGAAAGCATGGAGATATTTGGTTGTTTACTTTGCTGTTGCTTTCATAAGAAAAAGTTAGCAATAAAATATTCCACTACAGTACAGCGTGTTTTCTCATGTTGGTGTTAGATTTCTGTTTCTATGTCAGACTAGAACATCTGAACTAGCAAAAAATTACGCAACCCAAATGCTGGATAAAAAGATGTTAAATCTTTCAAATATATTAATGAGGACTTCTGAGTGAAACACAATAAGAAGCACCACATCAATCCAAATCTCTCCACCTATTTCCAAAAATATAGAGATCAAATAGTGGGGCAAATAAAACATCATGATTTATATTTTCAGCTAAATAATGAGGTAGGAAATACCTAAATCCATCAGATCCTTGTCTGTAAAACAGATAATCAAAACAACTGGTGAATCTTGGGTGGTGTCTGAGCATGAGATGGATGTAATGTAGGGATGCAGAATCTGTTTTGGTGATTGTATTGTGCTTATTAGGAGAGTGTCGTGGTTTGTAGGAAGAACACTAAAGTATGGGGCATGAGGTGGTGTCATTAAAGATGGAGCATCAGCGTGGCGGCTAGCTCTCAAGTGGCATAGGCAGAGAAGTTCTCTGGATTCTGCTTGCAAATGCTTTGCAATTCTTGCTTGTTTCACATTGGTTTTGCTTTGTTCTGTTTTACTAGTTGATAATGGGAACTTAAGAAAAACATTCTTTTCGGAAACTGATGTAAAGAGATAAATCCCTCAATAAATCCACTATGGTTCCTTCTTCTCCTGCAAAGCCAGGGCCTCCAGGTGTTTCCCTCTCACCCTCTGTTTTCTGCTTTAGGCAGCTTCTCCTCCCTTCACCTATCCTGCAGGCAACTCCCAGGCCCCTCTACAGCCTGAAGCAGCTCAGCCCAAAACGGGAGCTGGGGTCATTCAGGTTCACAGGCTTTGACCCTCACTTGAATGCCAGAGCTGGCAGGAGGTGAGTCAGAGAAAAGGCTAAGCAGCTATTCTGAGATTAGATCTGCTGTCTTACTAAATAAAATAATAATGAAGGTAATACTTTTCCATATTAAATACTTAAAAATTTCTACAACAGGCACTGTGGTTCATGCCTGTAATCCCAGAGCACTAGTAGGCCAAGGTGGGAAGACTGCTTGAGGCCAGCAGTTGAAGACCAGCCTGAGCAGCATAGGAAGACCCACTCTTCCTAAAACTAAAACATTTTGCCAGGCCTGGTGGCATGCGCCTGTAGCCCCAGCTATTCTAGAGGCTGAGTCTAGAGGATCACTTGAGCCCAGGAGCTGGAGATTACAGTGAGTAAAGACCCTGCCACTTCACTCCAGTATGGTTGACAGAATGAGAAACTGTAAAAAACCATAAAAACGACGACAAAAAATTAATGCAATTCTTGGTCACTGCATCAAAATGATCCCTGAGCTTTGAAGTCCAGCATGCTATTTTACTAGTGATACTGTTTGGAAGAATAAGGTCATGCTTCAGAGAAGTGTCTGCTTTTCTACAATCAAAGAAGTAGAAAGAAAATGCTTTTTTGCTAGGATTTCTTGTTCAGTTAAAACTTGTGCAGGAATTCCATCCGTTAGCACTGAGAGAAAGTGGCAGAAGATGTTAAGAAAAATGGCTGCTAGGATCATCAGTAAAGGTAATGAGTGGCATGAGATGTTGAGTCTACAATGTCCTCATCATGTGCTGGGGGCCGGTGGGCTTGCTAAGGCTTGAACTCCTGCTTTCCAGAAAGGCAAAGTGGTGAGTAGACAGGTGGCCTCCCTGAAGGGAGAGCAGGAACCAGAACAGGCTAACAGAGGCTTCTTGATATCATCTTCCACCTTCAGAAAAGATGAAGCGTTGGTTTAAGTGGCTGAAAAAAAACTGGGTCTGTTCTCCTGGGTGATCCCTTCCAGGCCCTCCCCATTTCGGAGCCTCTTCCCCAAATAAGGAACATGTTTTATGTTTTTCCCTCCAATGCTACCCTGGCTGTGCAGCCTGTCCCAACCTCCACCCTCCTTCACCACACCACAGAGCCAGCCCAGGCCCTGCTACAGCACATGGGGGCTCAGAACCGAGGCTGGTAATGAGGGGTCTGCACCTTCACTCAGGGACTGCTCCTCCCTCTCATAGAAGGATCTAAGGACCTGGGGGAGCCCTGTCCAAAGAGAGGTCTCTGGATCCATGTTCCCTGGCCTTGGGTGGGCTTGCAGGCAAACCTCCTTCTTTCCCCTTCGCTCTCAGCCTCTCCTCACCCTGAGAGCTGCACCCTTAGCTCTGAATGGGACTGCCCCTGCCCTGCCCTGTTCATTCCCAGCCAAGCTCAGTAGCAACCATGGACCTCTAGCAGCAGCTCAGCCTCCCTGTCTGAGTCCACTCTGCTCTAGGCAGGGCCATCAGCTGGCTCAGGATCGGGAGTGTGCAGGAGGCAGAATGGCAGGGGCATCACCCTAGGGCCAAGCCACGAATCCCATGGGTCCAAGGGGCCTGGCCTTTTCCTAAACCTCACCCTGGACATGCTCTACTCTTCACCTTCCGCCTTAACTGCTGGGACCCAAGCTGTTTTCTCTGGGAATGCAGCCTTAGGAACTGGTTGGGCCAAGGTCCTCTCAGCCCCCTTGTCTGGGGATTCTCCCAGATCACTCTCCTCTTAGCCTTCTCCAGGGACACCCTTTCCCTTGACATCCTAGGTGAAGCAGCCATGCTGCTCCTCTCCTACTGTGTGGACTGCCCATGCCTGAGTTCCTACTGCCTGCAGGCCACACACCACTACCCTTCCTGAATAGGAACCTGCTCTGAAACAGGCCTGAATTGGCTAAATCCTCTCAAGCTCAACAGGGCTTGAGCCTTGGTATGGGCCCCTCCCTTTCTCTCTGGTTCTGACAGTGAGAATCCATCAGAACTCAGGGCTGAGCTACCCAGGTCATTGCCAATAGGTGACACTAGGTCTCATTCATTTGTCTCATGTCAGGATGAGAAGGTTCCTGCCATGGGGAGATGTGGGACTCTGGGTATTCTCCTTCTGCATCCTTCCACCTCATCCACCTGCTCCTTGCTCCCCTCCCAATATTGCCCACAGTACCTGTCACTCTGAAGGACTCTCTTCAGATGCCAGGGAGGATAAAACAGAGGATGATGAGGAGGAGGCTCCAGGGACTGAGGGTGGTGGCCATGGTTTTGGGTTGGGTTGTGCCTAGGGCCCAAGAGTGTGGTTCTGAAATGGAAACACAGGAGTGACAACCCTTGTCCAGGCCCCAAATCTTAGGGGATGCCTCTTCAGCTCCTGCCCCTCCAGCTCATCCTGGAAGAGCTTTTGTCCCCCTCTGCTGTGGGGAAGCTGCTGTGACAGTTTCTGGGATAGGAAGAGAGAGGGTGTCCCTGTCCTCAGGGAGCTCACACAGCTGCTGAGGGAAGCAAGGTGATAGCACAGCCCATCCTCCTGCTCTGGCGGAAGAGGAGGTCATGCCCCAGGGCCAGGGAGGGGAGGGTCTTGGGGCTGGCCTTTGAGGTAGTTTCGATGGATGTACAGAAACTGAAGAAGGGAGAGGAAAGGAAAAGTGATTCTAGGAGGAAGGAACACTAACGAAAAAGGTCTAGAAACACTATGATACCCACAGATTCGAGGCTGGTGAGAAACGCACAGTGGGTGGAGCACAGGCAGGTGCAGGGAGGAAGAGGAGTCAGGAGGAAGAAGGGAGAGGAGGATGAGAGAGCACAGGCACACCAGCACCCCCAAAAGGAGTCCCCAATGAGGGGGTCATGTTCACACTCACTCAAACACACACACACACATGCACTCACACACACACACCGGGCTAAGATCTGAACTCAAGAGAGCTTCCTTTTTTCGCCTCTCACTTACTTGTTGGATCCAGCATTTTTTCCCAGTATATCAAAAATTCTTCAAGCCATGTCTTACAATCCCCCATTGAAATCTTGTGGAAGAACACGGTCACCTCCGTGTTCTTCTCCCACTTATCTTTCATCTTCTTGGCTCCAGGATAAAGCACTGCCCACTTTCTGTTGTTTGAGTCAAAGAGGAGGAAAGTCTGTCCATTGAAGAGGAACTGCCAAGATCCTCTGCCATGTCCATGGGCTTCGTGCTCACAAGACATCCGGGCCTGCAGAATGAGGGGCTCTGCCCCGTTGGAAAGAGATCAGCTCTGATCTTGACAAGTCCTGAGCCCCACCCTGCTTCCTTTCCTGGCTCCTGGACTTGCTCTCTCTGCTGCATCCTGCCCATGCTTCTCAGCCTCTTGTGTGACACAAACTTCTGGTTTATTTTTTGCATGAAACCAATAAATGCCTCTAAGTTACTACTGTGTCTGCTCCCTGCTGTCCTGGACTATCTGAAACTTACCAACGGGCATTAAATTCTCCACTTGAATGTCAGGCAGTTGCCCTTTGAGGAAATCCACCACGTCTCCTAGTGTTTCAGTTTGTTTTTCCCAGGTTTTTGTGACATTGACTTTCTTCCCCAGAGAAGCAGAGGCTTTGGCCTTGTGGTTAACACAGTCATAGTGAAGAAAAGGCCTTTCATCCACCAGGCCTTGAACTTCACACCATCGTGGTTCAGGTCTGAACTTAAGAGTGATGTTGAAGTCATAGCAAAGACAGTGTGTGTCTGTGGAAGCAAAACACAGGAGAGGATTGGTGTGGAGGGAAGTGGAACCTGAGACCCCTCCTCCCCCTTATGGTGACTGCAAGTGAAGGCCTCTGAGGGGCTGGGCTGGTAGAGCAAGATGTGCCCCAGTCAGGGCTGTCATGTCAACTAGTTAAAGACTGGAGCGTCTCCGTTTCTTGAGTATATGGAGGAGAAATTTCCTGCAGCCATGAAACCACATGTCCCCTCCAGACATGTCCCACCTGCCCTGTGCCAACATCAGTCAGCACATGATCTTGTTGGGGAGGTGCCAGGCCTGTTGTGGCAGGAAAAGGCCTGGATGAGGAGGACCCTCAGCAGCAGCCCATGTGGACCGCAGGAGATGGGAGAGGGTGTGGGAGCTGCCCTGGCATGCTCCAGCACAGTGGGGGCGGCGGGGGCGGGGGGAGGGCGGTGAGGGCAGAATTCAGTTTAGATACACAAGTGATTAATGTCACGGGTCACATGGTTTAATATGTTGGCAAAGCCCCGGCAATGACACCCATCTGCTTTGAGGATGCATTCCTGGAACCTTGGAAAGGGATGGTTCACAGGGCAAGAAGTGGAAAATCCAGAACTTCTAAGTCAGGGTGTAGAGGAAAGAGCAAAAAGGCTCAGAGAAGCGTCCATGCCAGAGTGGCTGCAGTGTGAAAATCCAGAACAATGTCCACTCTCTGTGCTCATGGGAAGCCTGGAGGACTCCTGTTTACCCAGCATATAAAGAAGGCCCCAGGAGAAGGCAGCAGACTGTCAAGAAGCTCAGGGATGCTTGTTGCTGAAGGCCGGGGTCAGGGGTAGGAAATGCTGTCCCTGAAATGGGCTCCCAGTAGTAACGGGGGTGGAAAATCCTGAAATAACAGATCTCAAGTGGAGGCTGTCAACTATCAGGAGGAAGGAGGGTGCAATGATGGAAGCAATTAGAGAAGTCACAATGGCAGCTGGGGACCTCAGCCATAGGAAGGTGTGCCCATGGCTTATAGAACAAAGGGGTCAAGGATCCAAAAGAGATGGAAACTCAACCTGAATACTGCTAGATTTAAATAATTACAACAAATAAAGACAAAACACAAGGATGGATGACCTGGATGCTGAAATGAGTCACCCCAGGAAATAATCGAGCTCCTTTGCCCAGCTTTGAGAACTGAGCCACACCTCAGACCCAGAGTCCATTACTAGAAGGAGAGTCCAGAGGCCCTGGTGGGCCCCTTCAACCCCACAGCAACTGCAATGACTCCTTCAGACTCCCCCACAGAGCCAGATAGGCATTCACTCTGGTAAGTGTACACCATGAAACAGCAAATACCCAGACACTCCTGGTGGACACAGTGTGTGTCCTCCTTCCAGAGATCTGAAGCATTAACTTGCTCCCCTGATACTCATGAGGTGCATTTGGGGCAAAGTAAAGGATGGACACCTGTGTCACGTCCAGCTTAGGGGGATATGCTGGGTTCATAGACCCATTTGATGGTATTTTCATATTTCCTGGATTCGTACCGGGAATGGTTAGTGTTTGTAGTTAATGTAGTAACTATTATAGGTTGTTCTGGTCATATGACCTTCCCTGTCAGCTCTGCTCTTGTAGCTGGGATGCAACAATACACACTCTGTGATGAGGGACTGGACCTACTTATATGGCTATTTGACCCTGGAGTCTCTAAGATCCCAGAAGCATGTGTGGTTGGAAAAGGTGCTATGTGGATTTCATGGCAATTGCCAACCGCAGAATCACATCAGGGTCCCCTAGTGCTCAGAAGCAAGGCTGTGCCACTCACAACAGCAAAATCCCCTCATTTAAAAGAGGCTCCAGGTGTGGTCCTGGGCCCTGGTGGAGATGGGCCTCCAGCTATGGGAGGGCAGTGACCACACAGCCTCAGAGCTGCCCATCACACGGTGTGCTCCTCACCCTTTAGGTCATTAGGAAGATAGGCCCAGCAGTGAGAAGACGCAGGTGGGTCTCCTGGGATGGGCCGGAGCAGGGCCACAGGGAACCAAGAAGCTGCACAAGCAGTTGGCCCCGATCCCCCGGACAACATGTGGGTGCACCCCTCACCCTCAGCTCACACCTGAGGCTTCAGGGAGGGTCCCTGATCGCCCCAAGGGACCAATGATGCTACTCAGCAGCAAAGGAGGGGAGCATTGGCCCCGAACCATAGAACCTCCATTCATATCCATCACATCCACACCACCCAGAAGCCACAGGCAGGGTCGGACACACCTGTGACTCTTCAACTTACACCACTTGGAGATGACACCCTAGGGGATGGGGAACCAATTGCCAGGACACAGCATGTGCCCTCATCTGGGGTCAGCAACCTAGGATGGTGTTCAGATGTGCTCTCCCTTTTATTTGCAGGTTGCCGTTGCCTGCTGTTGCTCTACAAAGGGACAGGACTTGACACACAGAGAACCCATGGCCAGCAAGGACCAAAGTGCCTTCAGCCTTTCCTTTCTAGAAAGGGTTTGCTGACTCCTGTCTGTGTAGTGACTATTCCATATGACCCTGGCTCCCCAGTAGGAAGAACAGGCGGGTCTGGGTCCCAAGGGAAGTAGTGGGTGCCTCTACTCACGGGCGCTCCCAGGGTCATCCTGGGGGAAATGGTCCTTCCCATCCCCCCTGCACTAAGTTCTGTGGAAAGCGTGAGGTGCGTTTGCTGGGGTGTATCCTCAGGCAAAAGGGGAGAAGGTGCTAGTTGCTGGTGGAGGTGCTAAGGACCCCTTCATGGATGGGGAGGTGAGGGAGGCCTGTGTGGTGACGGGGCTGGCTGAGATGGGGAGTGAAAGGATGCGACCTGGGTAGTGGAAGTGAATGGTGAAGAAGTGGTGAATGGTGGGAAGTGTCTGATGAGCCTCTTGGGTGGAGGTGAGTGCCTGCAGCAAAGCGCAGGAGAAGTTCCAGGGCGGAGCCCTGGGGGTGCTGGAGGGTTTTTGTGGTGGAGAGCGGATGAGAGCAGAGCAGGCCTGCGGCTGGTGGGGGAGTCTGTGATCGCGTTCCTGTGGAATCCCCTTCACCCCTGTCCTGATCCCAGCTAGGGTCTCGGGAGCTCTGGTTTCTCCTTCCCGAGGGCGAGTGGGGCTGCGGAGCTGCACCAGGGATCCCCGCTCCACCTTGTCTTCTGCGGCCCTTTGGCCCCTCCACCCTCCTGTGGTTCCTTTTCCGCCCTCTTTAAAAACCCTCCTGGTCTGCAGTGCAAGCTGCAGCCGCAGGATGCGGACTCAGCGTAAAGGAGCCGCAGCGGGGAACTCAGCGGGGGCGATGTTCGGGGAGATCGAAACCCGCTGCAGTCCACAGCCCCCGAGGTTTGGCCCCAGCCCCGGACTAGGCTCCATCCCGGAACTCACCGTCCTGCCCTGACCCGGACCAGCCGGACTGCAGCAGCAGAAGCGGGAAGCACGGAAGGAAGGCGGGGCAGGCAACCACTGCCATTGGGGACCTGGGGCGCAGGGGACTGTAGTTAGGGTCCAGGCGGATATGGGCGGAGGAATCGCCTGGTGCCTCCCACTCAGGCTGGTGAATTGAACTGCTCCGCCCCGCCCCAGGCTGCGATCCAAGGGTCGTGATCCGACTACTGCCCTTGTTTGGGGGTGCTCCACCCCGCCCCGCCCCGGGGTCGTCACCTGACAGCGGCCCAGGCGGGCAAACCCTCCCCCTCCACCCCGCCCCCGCGGCTTGGTGGCTGCGTCCCCGTGCCCCGCGCGGGGCAGGACACGGCTCCTTCCATGACCGCCTCATTTAATTTTTCAGCACAGCATTTATCATTACCCCAGTGTAAACACTTATGCACAGGAAGGTGAAGAAACTTAACAGGAATATTGCGTGGCGGCGGTGTGCCCAGTCACCACCTGCGCCAGCGACACCCGCCCTCCCTCTGCGTGCGTCGCGGAGCTCCCCCACGCCCCCGTCCGGGGCGCAGCCGCTTCCCCAGTTCGCAGCAGACCTTCTTTGCCTCTCCACTAAAAGCATAAGGAGGTCTTTGAGTGTATTCTATATCCCTTTATGACTTTTGGGAAAAAAAGAAAAGAAAGGCCTAGTGGCCTACCGTGATCAATCATCATGTGATTAATTGTGTTTCCATGGACAGCAGAAGCCGAGGGTGGGGTCTACGCGCATGGGTGGAGCTCACTTTGCTGCACACCCATCTGTGTCCAACCACACCCAAATCTGTGGCTGCATCCGCACCTCTGCTCAGTCCCTGGATGGTCCCTGCAGCCATCCTCAAAGGGGCATCCCGAGTGTATCCTCATCTCAGTCACCATGGAACCATTTAGATCTATGGACAGAAGCCAGAGGAAGGTGAGGAGCCCAGTGGCCCCTGGCTGCAAGGGAGGGCTTAGCCTGGGGTGACAGTGAGCAGAGCTCCTGAGCCCACTCTGCCCCCAGCCACTCAGCCCCCTTCCCCATTGAATGAGTCTTCATGTGGGGAGAACCTGCACCTGGTGACCTAGGGTCCTGAAGCTGTGGAAAAGAGGAGGAGGCCTGGACCAAGCCCAGGGCCTGTCTCTGCTTTCAGGACACGGTCATGGGAGGGCAGCTACCTCTGTGACTGAGCAGGGACACAGGAGCCTAGAAGGTTCTGGCCTGATGCACTAGAGCCACTGTCCAGGAGGGGCCACATGGAGAGTGGTCTACCAGACAACAGACACAGAGCGGTGAGCTGTTCTCAGACTTGGGAGGGGCATAGCTTGGTGGGTCTGGGCATCTGTGTGTGAAAAGAGCCTCCCATGCATAGGGCTGGGGACAAGCAACCCGGGTTAGTCCTGGGAGGAGGCCACTGGGAAGACCCTGGCAGCACCACCCCGAGGCTGGGTGACCTGGGTCAGTGACTGGGGAAACAGGAGGAAGGCAGAAGGAGGCTGGCAGGAGATCCTCGAGCAGGACAGCCAGGTGAGAGCCTAATCGGGGGCTGGGGCCAAACCTCGGGGGTTGTGGACTGCAGCGGGTTTCCATCTGCCCGAACATCGCCCCCACTGAGTTCCCCGCTGCAAACATCGCCCCCGCTGAGTTCCCGGCTGCGAACATCGCCCCGCTGCAAACATCAGCCCCGCTGCGAACATGGGCCCCGCTGCAAACATCGCCCCCGCTGAGTTCCCCGCTGGGCTCTTTTATGCTGGATCCTCTTCCTGCGGCTGCAGCTTGCCCTGCAGAACAGGAGGGTTTTTAAAGGGGCCTCTGTGCACACCTGGGCTCTCCTGCCTCACCCCTGATGCCCGCATTTGGCCACCAGACTCAGACCAGCCCAGAATGGGGATAGAAGTGGCTCAGAAGTGACTGTAATGGCAGGGATCTAGCGATCATGCATTCAGACATGGAAGTCAGCAGATACTGTGGCTGAATATTCCTGTGCAAGGTTCTTCAGCTTTCTGGGCATGGATGTTGGCATGTGGAAAATGACAAATGCTATGAATACAGATGAAATGAGCAGATTCTACAAGGAACCCTGTCCTTGCACATGCTAAGCACCCAGGGCAGGTCTCCTATTTTAGTTGTGAGCCCTGCTGCCCTCCTTGAAGTCAGCAAATGCCAGGCCCACCCTGAGGAGAGCCGGAGCTCTGAGCCCAGGCCCTGGCCTCTTCATGGCCCTGAGTGTGCTGTGAGGGAGAGGAAATGAAGGCAAGACCCACCATCAGGACTCAGGCGTGTTTTTCAGACCCACAGAGGATGATTTTTCTCTCCATCACCTGGTGAGCCTGACATGATTTAAGGGTGGTTGGAGGCTGAGTGAACCAGAGAATGAATGGGAGAGTTGTGGAAGTGAATGGGGCTCAGAGGAACAGCACAGGTGCAGAGGGGAGCTGGAGCGGAGGTCGTAATAATCCCCAGGGGCCTGAAGGTGGCTGCATTGAGGTTGGTAAATTTTTTTGCCCATTTTTCCTGTTTTAGTTGGTGTTTCTTTTTTCTTCTTTTCCTTCCTTCCTTCCTTCCTTCCTTCCTTCCTTCCTTCCTTCCTTCCTTCCTTCCTTCCTTCCTTCCTTTCTTTTTTAAGACAAAATCTTGCTGTGTGGCTCAACCTGGAGTTCAGTTGGACGATCTCAGCTCAGTGCAACCTCCGGCTCCTGGGTTCAAGCGATTCTCCTGCCTCCGCCTCCCGCGTAGCTGGGATTATAGGCGCCTGCCACCGTGCCCAGCTAATTTTTGCAATTTTAGTAGAGACAGGGTCTCACCATGTTGGCCAGGCTGGTCTCGATCTTCTGGCCTCAGGTGATCCACCTGCCTCGGCCTCTCAAAGTGCTGAGATTACAGGAGTGAGCCACTGGTTCCGGCCACAACTTGGAAATTTGTATGCCCACCTGGGTGTCCACAAACATTTTCCAACGAAGAGTAACTTTGGTTTTCAACCAGTCTGGGGTGCTTCATCAGGATAGAAACTTCTAGAAAATGTAGTGTAATGATGGACAGCAAACAGCTGTCTTCATATGATTTGATTGAGCCTAGAGTGTTCCATGGCGAGGAAAATCTTGCCTTTTTAAAATTTTTTAATTTTTATTATTATTAATTTTTTTGATGAATCTTGTACTGTTGCCCGGGCTGGTATGCAGTGGTGCAATCTTGGCTCACTGCAACCTCCGCCTCCCGGGTTCAAGTGATTCCTCTGTCTCAGCCTTCTCAGTAGCTAGGATTACAAACACCTACCACCACGACTGGCTAACGTTTTTTATTTTTATTTTGAGTAGAGACGGGGTTTCGCTATGTTGGCCAGGCTGGTCTCAAACTCTTAACCTCATGACCCATCAGCCTTGGCCTCCCAAAGTGTTGGGATTAAAGTTGTGAGCCACTATGCCTGGCCGAAAATCTTGCATTTAAGCAAAGAAGGAATGAGTCTGAAAGCAGGAATGGAAATGGGAAAAGATAAGGGGGCCAGAAGGAAAGTGGAGGAGAAAAGAAGGGTTAGGGTCTGAGAGGGAGCCAAGATCCAAGTATTTCCAGCCCCATGGCCTGGAGTTGCAAGTGGGTGGGGCAAGGCCACTGGAGCTGTGACAGCCTTGAAAGCCAGGGTGACTCATGTGGGGGCCCTCTGTTTCCTCTGGGTGTGTCACACCCTGGGCTCCAGGTCCGCAGTGGCACAGGTGCTGGCACAGAGTTGGGTGTCTGCATCCAGCTTCTGTTCCTGGTGCCAGGATGGTCCAGGGTGGGTCAGGTGGGTGAGTTCCAGGGCTGGACCCTAAGCAGGGGTCATGGGGATTCTTGGACTGCAGGGAGGTCAGGAGGAGGAGAGACTTCTGGAAGCTCCTGAATGTCTCCCTGGAATGTAATGCAGCATTGTGGGCTGGAGCCAGCCTGGCATGGGGAGAGAGCTGTGAGACTAATGAAAAGCGTGCAGCCTGATTTAAAGCCAAACCCTGAGCCCTTTCCAAGAACAATAAAGCATATTGTAGTTGCTAAAAGAAATAAATACAAAAAAAGCAAAGTAGCCTTTCTTGGCAGATACAACACCTTTTATTTTTAATCTTTACATTTAACAGTTAATTGCCTTTTTAGTGTACGTTATTCGATATTTTAAAATCCAACCTGGGAGTTTCAGTGATTTATGTGATGAGTTTAGTAATTCACCTTTATTGTAATTATTACTGTTTAGGATTTAGCTACGCCATCTTTTTTGTTTGTTTGTTTTAAGATACGGGGTTTTCCTCTTTTGTCCAGGCTGGAGTGCAGCAGCATGGTCATAGCTAACTGCAGCCTCTAACTCCTGAGCTCAGGCCATCTTATGGCCTCTAAGGAAGGAGACCACTACTACTCCTATTGCCGTCCTCCTCCTACCTTGCCTAGTTCACAAGACAGGAGGAGACAGAAAGCAAAAAGTTAGAAAGAAACCAAAGTAAGATAAATAGCCAGACAACCTTGGCACCACCACCCGGCCCTAGGAGTTAAAAAAAGTAATAATAATAACATCAACCCCTGACCTAAACTGTGTTATCTGTAAATTCCAGACACCGTATGAAAAAAGCATTGTGAAACTTTTTGTTCTGTTAGCTGATGCATGTAGCCCCCAGTCACGTTTCCTACACTTGCTCCATTTATCACGACCCTTTCCCGTGGACCACTTAAAGTTGTAAGCCTTTAAAAAGGCCAAGAACTTCTTTTGGGGGAGCTGGGCTCTTAAGACGCAAGTCTGTGGATGCTTCTGGCCGAATAAAAAACCTCTTCCTTCTTTAATCCGGCGTCTGAGGAGTTTTGTCTGTGGCTCGTCCTGCTACATTTCTTGGTTCCCTGACTGGGAAGCGAGGTGATTAACGGACGGTCAATGGTTGACAGTCGAGGCAGCCCCTCAGGTAGCTTATGCCTGCCCTATAGAGCATCCCTGCAGGGGACTCTGGCCAGCTTGAGCGATACGATGAGGATCCAGAGAGCGCTCCCGGGTAGGCAATTGCCCCGGTCAGAGCAGTGCACAGCAGGCCCCCGTGGAGGATCAAGGCAGTGGCTGAACACCA